CTTGTTCTTTCTTTAGCCCTCTTCCGCGCCCTGTTCTTCCCTTCGGTTTTAGCTTCCCAGCCTTCCTTCCATCAATGAGAACAGAGCCAGCTTGTCTATGGCTCTATTTTCAGTTTCAGGAGCTCAACAAAGAACCTTTCTCCGTGTGGGCTGTTTGCAGGCGGCACCTCCCTTTCCTTCCAAGCCGATGAGAAGGTTTTTGTGAAAATCTTCAAGGTAGTTCACGCTGGCAAGCGGCTCTGCTTGGGTCGGGTTCAAGGTGAAGCGACCTAGAAAAAATAATAATAATTTTGGCGAGTAAACCGCATGCTGGAAAATAGGCTCCTTCATCAAGTAGGGGTTCTGTAGTTAGTCCTCACACATCCAGAACTCGGCGGCAGAGTTTTGGAAAGGCTTTGAGAAGCGCCTGCTCTTTCTGTTTAGGAATTAAAAATATTGCCTTTTCTGGATGGCAGCTTTTGAGGGAAAAAGGTGTTACAGGTGTTTCCCTTTTAGGGAGAAAGAAAACATGCTTAGAGGAGAAAGAGGAAGGAAACAGAGCAAGTTTAGCACAGAGAGAGGAACTTACAGATCTTCTCTGTACAAAAAATATGTTGTTGTTGTGAAGTCATGTCCGACCCATCGCGACCCCATGGACAACGTTCCTCCAGGCCTTCCTGTCCTCTACCATCTTCTGGAGTCCATTGAAGCTTACGCCTCCTGCTTCAGTGACTCCATCCAGCCACCTCCTTCTCTGTCGTCCCCTTCTTCTATGGCCCTCCGTCTTTCCCAGCATTAGGCCCTTCTCCAGTGAGTCCTTCCTTCTCATTAGGTGGCCAAAGTACTTGAGTTTCAACTTCAGGATCTGGCCTTCTAAAGAGCAGTCGGGGTTGATCTCTTCTAGGACTGACCGGTTTGAACGCCTTGCAAAAAATAGACTAACCTAAAAAAAACCGTTCAGTCTCTTAAGCCATACAAAAAAACACTCCTCTTCAGTGTGAGCTAACTCAGGTGGATGCCAAACCATGATTTATGGTGCGGCATGCCAATCTAGCACAGAACAATATGCAAGGCTAGTCTATTGATACTTATCACATGAACTTCATGTTTTAAGATGGCATGACATTTATTTTTCTAGGTCGTTTAACAGGAATCTTTCAAGAAATATTTTTCCCGAGTGGGTAATTGCATTAGCCTAGAAGAGCAACGACTTGTCTTATGGTTTCTCAAAAACAAACCAATTTATTACTACCTAAACCGGGCCAGCTTCTTCTGATGCATCAGAATGAAGTTCTACATGGTCCACTGAAGCAGAAAGCTTTAATATGTTTGCAGCTCCTAAAGGTGCCACAGGACTGTTCCTTCGGGAATGTGTCATGGACGTGTCTTTGAGTCAGTTCTCAAGACATGGCATCATGGTTTCATTTGGACATTGGCCAGCTCTGCGCTCTGCCTTTCTAACAAACCTAGTTGCCTCACAGCTCGTAGGAAACTGTTTACAAGGCTTGCAAAATCTATCCAAGGAATTTCAAGATCCGCCTGAGTCAATCAAGGAAAATCCCAGTCTTGTCTCTTATGTCATGCTGCTGGTGGAAGGCATGTGCTCTGCAGTCTCACGCTTAGCCCGGGGAGCTGAATGTGGGTGGGTCTCTTTGGGAGTGTGGGAAAATTCTGAGCCGAGCTGCTGTAGAAAATGGGATGTCAAGGCCTGTGGCATTTGTTCTGTTCTGCTTTTGCAGGAGGAAAGAAAAAGCAAGGGAGGATTCTAGAATAGGCATAGACTTCAGTGCTGCATCACTAAAAACCACAAATACAGTAGGTACAGTGTAGTCAATCAATCAGAATAGAATTGGAAGGGACCTTGGTGGTCTTCTAGTCCAACCCCCTGCTAAAGCAAGAGACCCTATACCATTTCAGATAGGGGGTTGTCCAGTCTTTTCTTAAAAACTTCCAGTGATGAAGCACCCACAACTTCTGGAGGCAAGCCATTCCACTGGTTAATTGTCCTCACTCTTAGGAAGTTTCTCCTTAGTTCCAGGTTGCTTCTCTCCTTGATTTGTTTCCTTCCATTGTTTCTTATCTTGCCTCCTGGTGCTTTGGAAAATAACTTGACCCCCTCTTTTTTGTGGCAGCCCCTCAAATACTTTATCTTGTATTTATGCTTCTCTTGAATTGAGGCTTTCTGGTTCCTTCTCCACATCACCAGGGCAGCTCCTTCTGGTTTGTTTTCATTTTGGAAGGAGTGTTGAGTGGTGCTGGTTGCCGTTGTAGAGTGGGTGTCTCAGGGTTGTTTGGGGTTTGCTCATAGTCGGGCAGACGATCCTCCTCAGGTGGGGACCAAGAAATTTGCGAGGGAACAGGATGGAGAAGTTTGTTCTTAGTGAAGCGTCCTGGAATTGTAGCTCCAAACTGTTGAGGGCCTCTGGTTATCTAGGACGGGCCTTTTCAAAGTCTGTAGTTCTGAACCCTGGGGCTTGATGGGATCCCACCAACAACAAGCCCCCCCAAAACGACAGTTGGTTCTCTACTTACCACCATTCATTTTGTGACCATTCAGTTATCCCAGCAGGGGAAAAAGTGACGTACAACCAGTTCTTGCACTTCACCACCAGCTCAGCATCCCCACAATCGTGTGATCAGAATTAGGAGATTTGGTACCCGACATGTACTTTCAATGGTTGCAAGGTCATGTGGTCGCCATTTGCCACCTTCTCAGGAGCTTGCAACGAGGACATTGAATGGGGGAAGTCAGATTCATTTAATGACCTCGTGATTCACTTAACAAACGTAGCAATAAGGTTGCAAAATCCGATGCAACTCAGTGAACAACTAGTTTGCTTCGCAATGGAAAATCTGGTCCCGATTGTGATGGCAAGTCGATCTGTACTTGAATACGGCCAAATTTAATAATAATAATAATAATAATAATAATAATAATAATAATAATAATAATAATAATAATAGTGATAATAAAATTGGAAGGGACCTTGGAGGTCATCTAGTCCAATCCCCTGCTCAGGCAGGAAACCCTATACCATTTCAGACAAATGGCTGTCCAGTCTCTTCTTAAAAACTTCCAGTGTTGGAGCATTCACCGCTTCTGGAGGCAGGTTGTTCCACTGACTAATTGTTCTAACTGTCAGGAAGTTTCTCCTTAGTTCTAGGTTGGTTCTCTCATTGATTAGTTTCCATCCGTTGCTTCTTGTCCTGCCTTCAGGCGCTAAGCTTTCTATCACCAAGCTCCGGATCAGGAGTTCTAGATACACACACACACACACAAATTTATCTTATCTCACCATTGAAGTGACATGGGTGGCTTTTTAAAAAACAGGTTCCTAAAAATAGCAGTAGCACTTAGATTTTATATACCACTCTATAATGCTTTACAGTGTTCTCTGAGCAGTTTACAAATGTTAGCACTTTGCCCCCAACAATCTGGGTCCTCATTTTACCGACCTCGGAAGGATGGAAGGCGGAGTCAACCTTGAGCCGGTCAGGATCAAACTACTGGCAGAGTCGGCAGAGTCAGCCTGCAATACTGCAGTCTAACCACTGGGCCACCAAGGCTCTTAATGTACGAAACCCTCTGTTTTTGTGCCTGACTCAACACCAATCAGTCACTCAAGGTTAAATATTGATCAGTCCCCCAAAAGCTGAATGTTTTTTTACAAAGAGGGATGCTCATTTGCAAACCTGTCTGCTTTCCTTCTGCCTCCCTCCGTCAACAATGATTGTGGAGTAGAATTTTTCCCCCTCTTTTCCCCCTTTCTCTTTTGTGCAGGTGTTTGGAGTCCATCGTGATGTTCTACCGCCAGGGCCGGGAGGAAGAGCCTTACGTCACCATCACCCGCAAGAAGCATCTTCACAGCGACTGTGAGATTGAGATTGAGCAGGAAGTGGGACACCTGGTGCGCCGGCTGGTCACTCACCGCAATGCTTTCAAGCGCATGGCGGTCATTCAGGCCTTCCTAGGCTCCACCCCACAACTCACGCTGCAGCTTTATGTCACTTTAATGGAGCAATACGCCCCGCCCAGCAGAGGTAAAGACAGAACAGGGCCAAAGGATGGGAGGGGAAAGGAAACTAGAGGGTAACCCAGCCCCCTGTTATGGTCTTGCCATTTGCACTTTACAGCTTCCAAAAACTCAAAGTGTGGTCCTGCAACTATTGCCATCCCGGATGTAATAATTTACCAATTAAACTGAGTGTCTGCATCATTCCTTTTGCAAAAGGTTCTTTAGCATCGAAACACGTTGCCAGTGATGCTTTTAAAGACTTCCAAAGGAGACTTTCCGCCAGAATCTTGGCCCAGTTGCCAAAAAGTCTCAGGGGATCAGTGTAGATGCTTCTAGAAGATTCTACAATCCTTTTTAAGGCTAGACGGTAGAGCCAGTGTTCAAGGTTAGAAAAGCTGCAGCGCCCCATGGCTGGAGACTAAAAGACTGTCTAAAACGGTGGTTCTCAACCTTTTTAATGCCGCGACCCCAACCGGTCATAAGTCGAGGACTAAACCGGTCGTAAGTTGAGGACTAAACCGGTCGTAAGTCGAGGACTACCCAACCGGTTGTAAGTCGAGGACTTTCCCTGCTCGGGAGCGCCGCACATGCGTGGTTCCGCCCCCTGCACTGGCCGAGGCGTAGCTGGCAAGCGGCAGAGATGGAGCAGGCCGACCACCAGCTGGCCCAGCCCAAGGGAAGTAAGGCACCCGCCGGAAAAGGGGTAAAAAATGGCGGACAAAAAAAATGGCGGACAAAAAAAATGGCGGACAGCCTTGCTTGGCGACCCCCATGAAAAGGTCGATCGACCCCAAATGGGGTCCCGACCCACAGGTTGAGAACCACTGGTCTAAAAGGCTCAGAAAAAGCAAATTAGGTCCTCCATAACAGTCTGGTTGGTGAATTCTTGTCAACTGAGTGTCTGGAACCTGGGCCTCTGCTAGGTGTATGAGTTCAGCAGGTGTGGTTTTCTGCCGTCCTGGTTTAATAGAAGCTTCTGCGCAATTCCCAAAGGTGTGGTTCCAATAATTAGTATTTATAAAATCGAAGGCAGGTATTTTAATTGCCAAGCTTGAAGGCATTTTGCCATCTGCCTTCCCCGAGGGACGTCAGCTTAGAAACATGCAGATAGATAACACACCCATCGCCTCCGTCCAGTGTGAGTAGGTGCTTTGAACAGCCTATCTCATCCTGATGTTTTCCAGATGTGCATGATGTCAAGTTTAATCCCCTTCCAGGAATTTCTCTTCCTTTCCTCCTCCTGAATGAATGGATGGATGCTTTATTGAAGTTTTAGACAGAACCATAGTCTTTGACTTAGAACAGTTCACTTATTAATTGTTTGAAGTTACAAGGGCACTGGGAAAAAAAGGACTTATTTTTCACACTTATGTCCGTTGCAGCATTCCCATGGCTACATGATCCAAATTCAGACCGTTGGCAACTGACTCACATTTATGACGGTTGCGGTGTCCCAGAATCATGTGATTTCCTTTTGTGACTTTCTGACAAGCAACGTCTATGGGGAAACCAGATTCACTTAACTTACTAACTTAATAACTGCAGTGATTCGCTTAAGAAATGTGGCGAGAAAAGTGGTAAAATGGGACACAAACTCAGTTAACTAATTTCTCACTTAGCTATGTAAATTTTAGGCTCAGTTGTGGTCCTAAGTCAAGGACTACTTGTATAACTAAAACTATCAATGTAAAACTCAGGTCAACGTTTAGTAATAAAATGAGCACATACAAATCTTTAAAAAAAAACTGGATTCAGCATTCACATGACTAATTTAGCTTAATCATCTGGAGGTTCTAATTGTGTGTGATGAAAATCAGGAGTCTAGTAGCCTAAACTCACTAAGGTGTGGGCCTTTTAATAAGGTGTATTAGTTAGAAAAAGCTCTACAATACTAGTATCCCTGTCTAAAGGTCTCAAAGGAGGATGTAGGTGTTCCATAAGTAATTTCCTCCTGTAGGAGACATACGTGATGACTTTCATATCCCCTGACCAGGAGTTGGAAGCCAGGAGAAATTTTTGTGTTTACAGAGTGTTTAATCTGGGTGGTTTTAACTTGCATTCATATAAAAGTATCACCAGTCCCTGTAAATGTAAAACAAGATTTTGCAAGTAATGTTTGAGACTCTGTTAATAGACATTGGATGTACATTTGTGTGGGTGGCTTGGGATTTTTTGAAAGTCAGTTCCGCGTTAGCCTTTGCCAAGAGTCAGTGACAAAATGTGCTATTTCCTCGTGTTGTATATCCTCCATATTTACCCACAAGGGTTCTCTAACCCTCCTAAGCAGATATAACCCAACAGGGAATTATTCAATTGGATGAAGGAAACGGAAGTTAAAACCACTCAGGCTTTCACATCCAAACTGCCCAAGCTTGGCTTTGCTAAGTTCCGGTCAAAGAAATGAACTAGCCAAAAATCCATAACATTTCATGTTCATGCAGAAAATAATGTACGGAATCCACTCCTGCAAAACCTGGTGTAGATTAAGGTGAAAGAGTATTTTGGATTTTACCAGGGCATTCCTCTTGGCTAACCAGTCTCACTGGTTTATCTTCGCTTAGCTCAGCACCTGGTTTATCCTCTAACTCAGTGTTTCTCAACCTTGACAATTTTAAGGAATGTGGACTTCAACTCCCAGAATTTGACAGCCAGCAATGCTGGCTGTGGAATTCTGGGAGTTGAAGTCCACATGCCTTAAAATTGTCAAGGTTGAGAAACACTGCTCTAACTCCTTGTGAACTTTCAATATAGATTCTGGGAAAAGAGAGGAGACACACCCTGGGGCAGCAAATCTCATTCCCCCCCCCAGTTGCAGACAACTTCCGCCCCCTCTCAATTGCAGGCAACTTTCCTGCAGGGGATGGATATCCTCTGCTCCAGCATTTGTTTGAGCCTGCGACTTCTACATAGATAGTCCTAGACGTATAACCATTTGTTTAGTGATGTTCGAAATTACAACGGCACTGAAAAAAATGGCTTATGACCGTTGTAGCATTCCCAGGGTCACATGATCAAAATTTGGATGCTCGGCAACTGGCATGTACTTATGACAGTTGCAGTGTCCCGGGGTCATGTGATCCCCTTTTGCGACCTCCTGATAAGCAAAGTCAATGGAGAAGCCAGATTCATTTGCTAACTGTGGTTGCCAACTTAACAACTGCAGTGATTCACACAGCACCTCTGCTTTTTACAAGTTGATCAACCCACGGTGGCTTTTCTTGGCTCACCCTTTCGTTTTCCCTTCCCTTTTTAGCTGTCCTGATGAGCATGTGCTTACTCTCGGTCACTTACGGGGCGTTGGTCTGCAACACCTTGGCCATCCAGATCAAGTACGATGACTACAAGATCCACCTCCGCCCGCTGGCCTTCATCTGTATCCTCTTGTGGAGGGGTTTGGAGATCTCAACCCGCATCACCATCTTGGTTCTCTTTGGGACCGTCTTCAAACATTACGGCTTGGCGGTGGGCGCGGCCAACTTTTTGGTGTTCTTCTTCTTACCGTGGATTGAGTTTTGGAGGAGCGGGGCCAAATTACCCGAGAACGTGGAAAAGAACTTCAGCCGAGTGGGAACTTTGACTGTCCTGGTCTGTATCACTTTGCTGTACGGTGGCATCAATGTCTTCTGTTGGTCGGCTGTCCAGCTCAGGTTGTCCAGGCGAGACTTGATAGTCAGGTCCCAAAACTGGGGCTGTTTAGCTTTATTCTACTTGTTCCGGGGACTAGAGAACAGTCTGCTGCTCCTGGTCTGGTACTTCTTCGACGCGGAGATCTACGAGTACCTCTGCACTCCCATGTTGGTGCTGCAGCTGCTTGTGGCGTACTGCTTGGCCATTGTCTTCATGCTCTTTTTCATGCAGTACTTGCATCCCTGTCGCCGCCTCTTCACACACAACGTCACTGACTTCTTGCATTGTGTCTGTTGTCAGAAGGAAGAAGTTGCCATCTCTGCTGATTTGGAAGCACCTCATGAACCTGGTGTGAGGCATAGCATAGTATGACAATCCACACGCTGCTGACGGGATGGTTATGAATCCCGTCCTGTTACGTTTCCGCAGTGGTACCTGTTTACCCCACCGGGATAAGCCTTAATTTCATGGTGCTATGCTATAATTTATAAGCAAGGATGCAGCTGATCGTGGTGGTGAGGCCTTCTAGAGCATCCGCTGGACTTTATGATGGTGGGCTGTAAGGATACCCTTTACTGTTGTGGGTGTGGGACTAGGACAATCAGTATTAGGGACAGCAGAAGAAGACTTGTCACATAGTATGGAAGAGGAACTCTAGTTGATGGGGCAAACCATCAACGAAGGATAGTCTTGCTCTTCTAGGTGCTGACAGTTTGGCACCAGGACTCCCCTGGCTGTACTCATTTTCAGAAATGGACCTGAAGGAGCCTCAGTTGGCTCAAAGGGAGAACTGTTGCAAGAAGAGGCTTTGAAGAAGAGTGGCCAATGGAGACTGTCTTATATCTGTGTAATACTGCGAAGTTGGGCAAAGCTTCAGAGTCACTTTCCCAGCCTTTGCTTTTATTTATTTGAAAACTTGCGAAGACTTTATTGTTGTAATTTGAAGTGCTGGAAAAGATGTTGCCATTTATAGCAACTTGGTCTCAGAATTTGTTTGGGTTTCTACGGTTCCATTCGTGGCCAGGTGATCCATGCTCAGGCTGAAAGCTCAGGATGATGACTCTCTAAGGAGCCCCATTGGTGGAGGATGAGCTTTGGATTTCTTGCGTCCAGATCTTCAGGGATGTTGCAGCAGATTGGCCTTCCCAATTGCCCTGGAAGGACAAAGCTAGAGGCTGACTGCTACATTGGTGGCATCCTTCAAGGGCTGAGATTGAACTTGTTGAGCTTGTGATGGGAAGCTGGACCATTCCACATCCAGGTTGTGGTTCTAGAAGGTGATCAGCTCGTTGTAGTTTGGGCTGTCACTTGGGGAGGTGAGCATTTCCCAACCACTTGGCTGGACCCCGTGCAAAGATATACTTGGAGTGATTTTTTTAAAAAAAAAATCCATTATGTTAAAATGCTCAGGGCTACGAACCCAATTTGGCCAAGCTTCTTGGCCTCCCAAACACTTCCCATGCTATGTAGCGCAAGGATGTTCTTGAACACGAGCTCGTCCAATAGGTGGGTCTTCAAATGCTTGTAAGGACTATGGGCTGACATGTCGAGTTACATATTTGACCCCAACAATTTCCTTGTATGAACTGATTTCTCCTTGTACCTCTCCTCTATTGAGCTAAGACAAGGGGGTGTCCAAACTTGGCAACTTTAAGACCTGGGGACTTAAACTCCCCAAATTCCTCAGCAGCCTGGCTGGCTGAGGAATTCTGGGAGTTGAAGTCCACAAGTCTTAAGAAGTTGCCAAGTTTGGAGATCCCTGAGCCTACAGATAGGCCAGACTCTGAGTTAAAGGACCACTCTGTGTGGGATTTTGGTGCTCTTGCGTAGAAAGCTGATCTGTGACCGTCCTTCCTCTTTATGGTTATTTCTGTCCCAATGAGCAGGGTGAACAAGACCTTCAGCAGTAATAATTCAGGAAGAAAAACAGCATTCGGGACTATGATCCTATGACTACCTAAGGCTGGTTGGTGTCTGGAAAAGCGGGTCCAAAGTCTTCAATCCCATAATAACTATATGAGGTTTCATATTGATGCTAAGCCCAGGAGTAGAGGCAACACAGTGTAATTTAACTGCCCTTTTATACTACATCAAGATGCCTCTATGGACACTTTGGATGTTCTCACTTGTATAGTGACAGGCATATTTTTGGGTTGGCCTTTTCCAACCCCCAAATATTATGCTTGGTGGCTCTTTCCATCAACAGCCAATATGGAAAGATTAGAGAAGACCACCTTTGATTGACGAGGAGATTCCTGTTGGTATCTTAGACCAGGGGTAGGGAACCTTGGCTCTTTTATGACTTGTGGACTTCAACACCCAGAATTCCTGCACCAGCCACGCTGACTCAGGAATTCTGGGAGTTGAAGTCCACAAGTCATAAAAGAGCCAAGGTTCCCTACCCCTGCCTTAGACCCTATCAATCTTTGTACTTTTTTTTTGCCTATTCTTCACTGCAAATAGGAAGAAAAAAGGGGTGTCTTTAAAAACAAAATAGTCCATTCTGGGCTGGCCTTTAAATAGGCTGGTTTGAATTTCTACGTTCTTTAAATCCTCATTGCGTTTGTATTGCCTTCGCTGAAACCAAGGCATTCTTTCGCTCCTGAGATCAACTCTAGCCTGAAATAGACCCAACTTCAGGGGAACATTCAGATTCTCTGCCTTCTTCAGCTTCATGTTGAGCAGGAGTCTGTCTTTCAGCAAGGCAGCACAAGCCAATGTAGCAGATACTAGCCGAGCCAAGCCTTGGGTAGAGTTTCACCCTCTCCAGTGGCTTTCAGAGGACAGCTAAACCCAGCCAGGAATGATCACCTACCTCAAAGAGAGATTCCACCACTGCCTTTTTGACTGCCTTCCCCTGTGACTAAACTAGGTGTCCAGATCAGGTTTTGGGACCAGGCAATCTTAAGACCAGAGGCACAATTTATTTTCCCTAATTCTCCATTTCTTTTTAGTGCGTAGTTTCCTGAAGGGTAGCCATTGTGGCCAGGAACTTTCCATATGTTTTGTCTTCCTCTTCCTCTCTCCTCTCCTCTCCTCTCCTCTCCTCTCCTCTCCTCTCCTCTCCTTCTCTCCTCTTCTCTTCTCTTCTCTTCTCTTCTCCTCTTCTCCTCTCCTCTCCTCTCCTCTCCTCTTCTCTTCTCTCCTCTCCTCTCCTCTCCTCTCCTCTCCTCTCCTCTCCT